AGTTAAATCCTTCCCCTGGATCAAGCTCAGTGCTCTCCTGTGGGGAGAGAGATAACAAGCTGTTCCACAGATCCCCTCTGTAGTCTCCCTGCTTCATGCAAGGTAGATGAGGCCTTGCAAGGTGATGTCTCCAGGAGTTGCCCTTGCCAGGAGATCTTCTAAACAGATGCACGTGCTAGGGCTTTTTAAAGAGAAGAGCCCCCTCAGTGGGCATGTCTACATGTGATGCTTAATGCCCTTTGGACTAATTCTACTGTGCATTAGCACAATGGTAAAAACTGTGCCAATGCACTAATGCGTGGTAGATTAATCCAGTGGCCATTAAGCATCACACAAAAAACATTCTTCTGTACTAATGTGCAGTAGATTCAGTCCAATGGGCATTAAGCATCACACAAAAAGCATTCATCTGCACTAATGCGCAGTAGTGCCAATTACAGCACGTTAAATTAGTACCTGTTATTACGGGTATTAAACTTAATGCACCATAATTATGGCACATTAATGAATGTGTAGACATGCACAGTGTTTCTCTTTGAGCTGCTGACTGGAATACATCCCCTCTGCCTCTACCATGACTTCTTATGCTTGACTGAAATACATCCTTGGCCAGGCCTCCCAAGGGGCTCCTTTCTGGATGAGAATGCCATGTCTCGTGGATCTGGGTGACTCCTCTGCATGCTGATTAAAATAACCACCTGAGCAGATGAGCATGCTGGCAGGAGCATAGCTGTCAGCATCACAGCCAGGCTCTGGGTCTTGTGTTACCAAACTTATTGTTTGAGTTGATGGGACATTTTGGATGTGGAACTTTAAGTAAATGGGGACCTGCCATTTGACAGAAGTCTGCCTGCCTGTTCGTAGGCATAAGCTACACAGGTGATTTTTGCTGCTGAGATTGTGAACAGGGTAACGGATGCTCTGACTGGGGCCTGGGGGAAGGTGGGGGTATGACTGCAGATGGGCTTGTGACCCTAATGCCACATGACAGTGTTTATACTAGCATGTCAGTCTCGCTTGGTCACTGCCTTTTCTCTGTTACCTCCTTCCTCACACTCTTCTCTTGATGATGGGGGGGCCAGGTAGGTCCTATCATCATTCCACTCATGTTGCCAGGTTCTGCTTTGAGCCCTGGTCCAGGTATTTGTTGCTTGCAGAGATGATGTTCCATTCTCCGAGAGTCTTGTACCCTTGCAATTGAATCCTTGACAGAACCAGGCAGGACTGACCACCCTGGCTGCAGCAGAACAGATGAATTGTCAAACTGCTCACATGGGCTTGTGTCCTCCTTCCCCTGTGTCAAGGAATCAAAGCATCAGACCATTGGCAGACACCCCTAGCCTGGCAGAGAATGCACTTCAGAAGGAGGCGCTCTGCCAACAGCATGGCACTAGACGTTGATGGCCCCATGTGAGGCCCTGGATGCAAGGAGAATTTCAGTAAGCCAGTGATCTCTCAGGAGGATAGGAGCCCTGCCTTGAGGGGGCAGCTCTTTGGATGAGAGCTGCCTTTGAGCCAGCCCTTTTGTTTTCAGATGGGAGTGTAGACAAATGGTTTCCCTTCAGCAGGGCAGAAGCTGTAAGTAATGGGCCTGATCCTGTTCCCATTGGCTCTGTGAAGGAACCTCCTTCTTGGCTATTGAGCAAACAGCCAGCACCTTGTTAGGTTGATGACTGGTGAGTCTCCACAGTTCTTATGTGCCTAACTCTGCCAGAATGAGCCTTTCAGCTGCGTCCCCCAGGACAGGATGATGCCATTTGCCCTTTAGAGTGGGGAAAGAGCAGGCAGTCAGCACTGCGCATTGCACCCCAGGATGGCAGCTGTGTAACGAGAGTGATCCAAGCATGAGAACATATTTACACCTAAGGATGGTGAGTGAGTGGCTGGCAACAAGGAGCTGTTTGCTCTTTCCACCACAAAGGAGCTGAGTTGATTTGCATCATAATTAGTATTCTTCAGATCTAAGTTAGAGGTCTGGATTGCTGAAAACTTCCTCCTTCCCAGCTTCCTTTACCTCTCAAGTCAAATCCTTCCCAGCTGTGGGAAGTGGGTTTTTTACCATTGACTAGAAGCATCCTTGGTTTATAGCTGAGCATCTCTAGTTCCCTGTCAGGGTTGGAGGTCACTAGTCCTTGAGGGCATGACAGGAGGAAAAGGAGTAGACATGAACAGTAGAGACATCAATGCAGGCAAGTGTTCTGCATTCTGTATGGGTTTGGAGAGGAGAATCCAAAAGACTTGCTCCCACCTAAAATCAAACTAGCATGGGCCTTTCTGAGCCTGAGTCACTGTTGGATAGCATGGCCCCCCAGCATCCTGCCCTGAGAGAGTGCAGTTGGCTGGTAGGGGGCAGGTTCATTTTCTTGGCACCAGGGAAGGGTGGGGCGTTCCTTGCTAGTGACTGTAGCATGGCTGTCAGATCTGAGATAGGCAGGTGTCCTTGGGACTGATGCTAGTTCCTGCTCCCCAGAACTCAGCAGTGGTTATAGTGCTGCTGTGGTGTTGGGAGAATGCATCATCTTTGTCTGTACTGAAGGTTTCATGATGCTCAAAGCATGAAGGTGGGGATGAGGTGCTGCTTAAGATGCATCGAGCTCTTGTATTCTTCACTGTCTGCTCCTGGCTCCCACATCACAGCATATAGAGAGGCAGGTGGGGGGTATCCAGTCAAAGACCCCTGTGCTGGGCAATGAGAGTGTTGTGGGCATGTTGAACTTTGCAGTGAGCTAACACTTTGGCCAGTCCCCTGGGAGTCTGTAGCATAAACTCTAAGTTGGCCCCAAGTAACTATCTAGATGTCACAGCCCCTTACAGACTCCACTTTTTCCCAGTCAGAGGCATCACAAAGCTGACCACTGCTGCTGTCTGAAAACTGGTAGATTCTGCATGTAAGAGTCCTGGTACTGGTGGGGGTGGGGGGGTAGAGCCCTGGGTATGGGATTGGAGGCTTGTTGTGAGTAAGGCTAGAATAATGCTGTCATGCCATAATATGTGAGCGAAGCACCCAGTTTCCTCGGTATCTAGGTGGAAGTGGGCGCCTGTGTGGCAGGCTGGGATGAATGTGTGTTGGCAAAGCTGCTTGGGGAAACTAGCAGGATATCCACCTGCTCAGTGCCTGGGTCCAGACAGCTAGAAGCATTTCTCTTTTGTGAGCATCAAGCTTATCCCCAAATTGAAACCCCCCCAAACTCTGTTTTGAAAGCAACAAGATTTCACCTTTCCCAACCTCACCCTCAGATGCCCACTGGCCCTCTTGGGAAGATCTGAGTAGAAACCTGGGCTGGGAACTTTTGGGGGCTTGTTGATAAGAACATGTGCTGTCTGGCTTGGTTTGAATAATACGCCAGTATTTACATCAGAGGCATAGCTTTAACAAAGCAGAGACATGGGGGACGCTATCACTCCCTGATGTGAACCAGTGGGCTCCTGTGCAGCACATCGGAGCAGACAGAAATCCAGCACATCGAAACAGACTCAATTAATTAACTCGAATTAATGGAGCGTGGAAATTAACGCGCTGCAGCAGACTCTAGTGTCGTGTGTATCAGTGTCCCTGCACTGAAAAATGGCGGTGAGGCACTTTGAACTATAGCTCGTCGAACAAGCGTTAGTTTAAAGCACCCCACCACCATTTTTTTCAACGCAGGGACACTGATACATGTGACAATTGGGCACTTTTAATTAGCATGACTTGATAATTAAAGCGTCCCCCCATGCCTCCCAGAGCATGTGTAAAAATGCCCAATTAGCTTGAGAAACTCCCCGAGACCCTGGAAACTAGGAGCCTTGCTTCTGAAAGGAGCAGAGTGGTGCCACTCCATCCTGTCACTATAGCTGTCTCTCATGTCTTGTGCTTTGGGGGAATTTTATAGGGAATATAAAAAAGCTTTAAATAGATGCAAGGGAAAAACATATCCAGATGGTTCTGTTTAAACAGAGGCTGATTTGGGAACATGGGTGAATTTGCCAGATATACCTTGTGTGAGTGGGTCACGGTCCCTCAGCAGGGCTTGTGGTAATAGGGAAACGGCAGGACTTTTTGTACTGTTTAGAAGGTTGGAGGTTTAGCCTGGCATGTGTTTAGGGACAGGTGAGGAAGGGATATGCGGGTTCCCCTTTACTCTACACAGCATAGCTTGATCTTGGCCTGGACTGGGTAGTAGCCTATGGGGGCAGCAGCAATAACTTAATGGAGAGGTGGTGTCTGCTGCCCTCTCCTGATGAATGGTGGAGTAACAGAAATTATAGAGGTTGGCAAGCCCTATGTGTATGTGCGCCAGTGGCCTGGCAGCGACTTGCCAGCTGAAAGATAGTATTGAATGTTTCCAGGGAGGTTTCCTGTGGTCAGAGATCAGGCAGGTGAGGTTTCAGCCCCAAAGGAAAATTCTTAAGTTCAGGAGTGGCTGGAAAGGGGAGCCTTGCATGGAGGTTCTGGCTGAGCCTTCCAGAGTTGGCAGCAGGTTGTAGGTAATTGAGTGTCTGTAGCTCTCTTCTCCTTGCTTCAATCTGCCTGGCATCTCCCTGACTGGTGGGTAGAGATTTGATCCTGGTTCAAAGCTATACACCTGACACCTGGCCGCTTTCTCAGACTGGGCACTGCATGTCAGCAAACAAGTAACTCTATGGATGGGAATAGTCCCAGTGAGGATGGTCCTAGCCCAGTCACAGATCACAGTGTGTTTGTGCAAGCACATTTATAGTTGTTGGGGTCTGAGGAAGCCAGAGAGCTGCCTTCACCTCAGATTATAATGCCCCCATTAAGAGTGTGGATGGGGGAAAGAAGTAGGCAAACAGGCTAATCAATTAAATGCCTAAAGCAATGGGCCCCAGGTCCTGGAGGCAGAGCACTGGGGTGGGCAGCGATTGGTCATGTGGGGAGCTGGTCTTGGTGGGAGTGGGTACCAGGAGAGTTGTCACAAGGGTTCACTGCTAGTGAGAGACATGTGATGGCTTGGGGCCCCTTCCTGCCGTAACTAGCACCATCTCTTCCTTATCCACAGCACCGGCAGCTCCTGAAGGACAGTTTCATGGTGGAGCTGGTTGAGGGGGCTCGGAAGCTGCGCCACGTCTTTCTTTTCACTGACCTGTTCCTGTGTGCCAAGCTCAAGAAGCAGATTGGAGGGTGAGATGTCCCGTGCTGGGCCCTGTGCTTGGCACCCCACAGTCAGCCAAGTGCTGGGTAGGACAGAAACCTGGTCCAGCGAGAGCAAGCTGGGTTTATGTGAACAAACTGAGCGAGGACACCGCATGTACAAGGAGCAGCCAGATAGTGCCTGCAGCAGCATAAAGCTACCCTCCAGGACAGGCCCTCCTGTCACATGAGGAGTTGAACACTGCAACCTGCTGAAGAGTGGGCTTGTTGACCTTGGAGTGTGGGCCAAATGCTATTAGGCTCCTTTAATTTTTTCTCTCATAATACCCCTTGCCATAGTACGTCACTTCCAGTTGCACGATGCCCTTACATAGTGGTGGCCTCCATCTCCCTTTTGGTGGCTAGACCGCATAGTCCTTTCTGAGTCTGCCTCAGTCTTTGAGCCAGCAGCGTTGGGTTTTCTGCCCTGCTCAGTAGAGGCTCACAATTTCATTGATCCAGAGGTCCTGGGTTCATTTCCCTCAAGCCAATGGGTCACCCGGTGGCATAGCATTGTATCATCACCTGTCACATAGAAAGCTGCCAGTTCTGCCTCCGAGGGGGGTTTGTTTAAAGAGATCACGATGTTCAGAAAAAACATCGCTATCCTCCAGGACCAGAGGCAGTAGGCTTGCAGTGTTGGAGGACACCATGCTGTTCATTGCACTGAAATGGGAATGGCTCTTTCCAATTTCTATTGCTAAGGAGCAGCCCCAGCCACACTGTGCTTCCATGGTAGGGATTAGAGTGAGCTACAGCTGTTGACACCACCCTACGACCTGCAGAGCTGAAATAAGTCAGGGGAACAAGCCAGGAGCTGAGGGAGCATAAATGTCTTAAAGTTGTGTCCCCTCTCCCTTCCAGGAAAAGCCAGCAGTATGATTGTAAATGGTACATTCCGCTCACAGACCTCAGCTTCCAGACAGTGGACGAGGCCGAGGCTGTGCCTAACATCCCACTTGTGCCTGATGAGGAGCTGGACGCCATGAAGATCAAGATTTCCCAGATCAAGAATGACATCCAGCGGGAAAAGGTACTGGTGAATAACAGAACTTTTCCTCCAGCACAGAGCATGTACTGCATCTTAATTGGGAGACAAGGCACTGCCCTGGGGTGAATGAGTGTAATTTCCCAGTAGTCCTGCTAATCCATGCTACTTGGATGAGGCCCCCAGGACAACTAAAGTACTAGTTACGTGTGTACCTGATATGCAGTTTGCTGTTATGAGGCCAAACTCAGGGTTTATATGCTGAACCCTGGGTGCTGGTGTCCTGTAAGCACATGGGAATGACAAAGGCTCAGTATCTTCACACAGCAGCTGTAGGTTAACTCTTTGCCTCTCATCTCCATGCCCTCTGCTGGTGCTAGATTTTGGCTCTGCTCTAGCTGGAAGCATGAACTGAGGGGAGCGTTTTGTGGCTCTTATGGTTTTGGTTGTAAACAGAGAAGAATTTTTGCTACATCCATACCAGCTTTTAAGGTGTGCTTGGGACCTAGCTGATTCTAGAGCAGGAGGAGGTGTCCAGAGAAATTAATCAAATGTTTTAGTTGCCCACTGTCCACTATGGGCCTCTGTGTTTTTAAACATTGGCCTTTCCTCATTTACTAGGTCTGGGTTTTCTCAAAGATGGTAGAATCCAAGTCAGCCTATTCTGGGAACAGCCAAGATGTGACTGCTGAGACCCTGCCCAGTGACCAGCAAAGTGCACGGACCTTCACTTGCACCTTTTGCCCCTAGTTACAAAGGGGATTTCAACCCCATGGTCCCTGCTAGCTCTCTGAGGGTTACCTAGGAAGAATGGTGTGGTATGAAATCACCTGTGGGAAAAGTCTTTTTGCTGACTCAGCTGCTAAGTCACAGTTTACAGGTGTCTCTAGATGCATGAGGGCCAAACAATGCCATAGTTGAATTCTAGGATCTAGGGTTTGTCCAAGTAAAAACTTGGTGGTGGGTGACTTCAGAAAACAGGTTCACAGGGATGGGGAAAGGATCATGGGCTGCTATCTCTACATAGAATGCTGGCTCCAGGATGCTGTTTTATCTGTGTGCTCCCTAAGTAAAGATGCTCTTGAAAGTACCCTTTGTGCTGTTCTGTGGCAGCTGCAGCTGCTCTGGACTGGAGCATACATTGTTCTGCCTGGGTTGGTGAATGGCTTCCCCTTCAGAGTGCCTTGGTCTGCAAGGGCTGTTCACATGAGCTGCAAGTGGGACTCGGGGCTAGAGCATGAAGTACATTTATTGACTGAACTTATAATTCCCACTTCCCTGAGTGGGGTGGAGCCCTACCTGCCCTGCTGGCAGGCCCTCTGTTGCCTGGGATAGGGTTGTGCCCCCTCATAGAAGGCAGGGGCAAATTAATCTAAAAGCTGAGCTTAGTCTTATTTTCTGTGTCAGTGCTGGAGCGTGACCTTCATGTTGTCTCTTTCTTTTCTCCAGAAGGCGAATAAGGGCAGCAAAGTCATTGAGAGGTTGAAAAAGAAGCTCTCTGAGCAGGAGTCCCTGCTGCTGCTGATGTCCCCCAACATGGCTTTCCGGGTGCACAACCGCAATGGAAAGGTGAGTAGCTCCACGCACTTTGCCCAGGCCTCATGTACAGGATGGTGGATGTGGTGTAAGCAGGCTTGTAACTTCCTCTTTGTGATGCTGTTCTGGGTGCAAAGAAATTGGGTTGGCTTGAGTGTTGTCCTGCACACTAATGGCTGGCAGCAGGCACAGAGCAGCAGCCTGGGGACAGCAGCTAATTTGGACAGTCTGCATTGCACAAACATAATCAGAACCCCCTGCCTCATCTCCTCCCCTGACATGTGCGTGTGCTTGGTTCTGCCCTGGCAGAGTGGAAGTGCCCATGTCTCTTCACCTGGGGCTCCCCTTGCCTCAGTTCCATTACAGCCACCTGCTTTGGCACTACTGTTGTTAAACAATCATGGAGAGTCTCCTGTAGCAAGTGGGAGAGGCCTGTGTTGCTGTTGGTGGGTGACATAGCATCCACATGCACTTGTCGCTGGATCATTACAAGATCCAGCTTGCTGATGTTTGGACCATAGGCATCTTTGATGTCTATCCAACCTGATGTGCTCCCCATTTCCCTGACACTCTCTCCACAGAGTTACACGTTCCTCATCTCATCAGACTACGAACGTGCAGAGTGGAGAGAAAACATCCGGGAACAGCAGAAGAAATGTAAGTGTCCCTCTGCCAGCTGGAGCCCCTGTCTCAAGGAGTCACAGACTGTCTGGCTGAATAGCTGCAGCATTTGTGCTCTTCCTCTGCTGGGGGAAGGATAAGGGTTGTCCAAGCCTATCTGAATCCCAGGGAGTTAGGTGAGGCTGACTCCCTACCCCAGAGGACCTGTGAGGCCAGCATGGCTGCTTTCTGTCCTTCTGCCCTTTTACTTCAGCTGTGACCAGTGGAAGATGGGTTTGATTGCAGCTTCCAGATCTGATTCTTTGGGAGTTGGGGGCCAAGGAGATCTCTCAGCAGTGGAGTCACCTCTGGCATCAGCCAGCCAGAGCTGGAGTTGTATACTTTTTGGAGCACAGTAAAAGGCCCATTCCTTCCCTCTGTCTCTGACCTGAAGAGGAACGACTCATTTTTTGGAATGGGTTTGGTTATGGTTGCAAGGAGGAGTGTCTCTGATTCCTTTTGTGGTGCCCAGAGACTTTAATCCTCTGAACATTAAATCAGTGAGGTACTTGCAGATGTGCAGCAGGCTCCTAGAGGTACTGATGGGAAATCAGGGCTTCATCTATGGTTCCCTTTAGCTACATGCACGTTCTGTTGTATTGTCACCAGGCAGTGCCTGAGAAGCCATTTCCTGTGCTGATGCCATTGCCTCTCTGAATTTCCTTGGCAGGCTTTAAAAGCTTCTCGCTCACATCAGTGGAGCTCCAGATGTTGACCAACTCATGTGTCAAGCTTCAGACTGTCCACAACATTCCCCTTACCATCAATAAAGAAGGTGAGTGGTTGTCAACAGCTGCTGTCAAAAACAAGGTCCTGCCTTCCCTCTTATATTTCCCTTATCCTCTTCTGTTTTTTTCCTTCAATAAAAGGCTTTGAGTGAGCCACAAGAGACTGGTGGCCCCAGCAGAGCGATGGCTGGAGACCAAGTGTACCCAGCTTGTATGGTGTAGTTTGAGTGGATAAGAAGCAGCAGAAAGGAAAGGAGCAGGGCTGGGATGGTGTGGTCTGAGGTCCTACCATTACTGATTTCTGCAGTATAAATAAAGGCTGAAAAACACATGCACTTCTTGTTTTTACTAGGTTTTGCTCCCATGTGCATGCAGAACCTCTGCCTGTCTCTGCACTATCCTCCACATCTTCCACTGGCTCTGGTTATATTTTCTTTTTATTTTGATAATTCTTTCATTTTTCCCATTACTCTTTTTATGCACTCAGTCCTCTTCCCTTTTCCTCCTTACATCATTCATCCCCTGGCCAGATCAGCCACACTCCTCCTTTCTATAGCAGCAGTTCCTGGTTTTCCAGACTGTGATCTTGCTTTGGGGCTCTAAACCTAACTTCCAGTGTAATTCAGTGTCTGTGGGGCTCACCACCCCATTTGAGGTTGCAACCCTGAATTTGGGAACTGTTGTCCTAGGACCAGCCTACTGCTTTCCTAGCAGAAGATGTAGCCATAAGAGTTGCTCCTGGGTGGTATTTTTTTTAAACTGGCAATTTTAAGATGATCAATTTGGATCTGAGAAAAAGGTGTAAGCCCTGGTGTCCTTCCTGCAGAGAAGGTAGGCCAGGGGATTTCCAGATGACAGGGTAAGGGAGGTACAGTCTGTTCTGCTTTGCTCCCTCTCTGCTTGTTGGCTGGAGGCATTAACAGGAAATTGCTTTTATGCTGATTGAAATGTTTGGCCTGCACACCTGACTGGAATTTCTATTGCAATGACTGGCATTGCTGCTGCCTGAGTCGCAAAAATATCAAATGAAACCAATCTCTGGGGGGCCAGTCGCATGCTTGGAAGCCCCTGTGTTGGTTGCAGTAAGAAGACTGTGGAGAAGCCTGTGCAGCATTAGGTTTGTACATTTGAGGCCAGGCACAAGGGGACCCTGTTCTCAGGGTAGAGGCCTACAGTGTTCCATTGGGGTTTGGTTCTGTTTGTGAGTTTGGTAGTTCTCTGCATATGGTGTTCCCTGTAGTCCAGTCCATTTCCTGCTTTTCACACAGCAACATGGGAAAGAAAAACATATTTAAACATGGTAAAGCATGATTGTAAAACTGCCCAATTTGTCAGGAGTGCCCTGGGGCAGGAGCAGTGCATGACATGAATTATAACTCCTTATTAAAACATTGCCTCGCTCTCCCTTGCCTGGGACCCATTTATAGATGCTTTGCCATGCACCCATAAATCTCAGTGATGTAAGTCTCATTTCCAGGCCTTCTTTTAAGCTGTAACCAAACTCTTTTTGCACAGATGATGAATCCCCTGGGCTCTATGGATTCCTGAACGTGATCGTCCATTCTGCCACAGGATTCAGACAGAGTTCGAGTGAGTTGCAGATAGGTGATATACTCGGGGAGGTGCAGAGGTAGTTGGCTAGTAGAGCTGTATTGTATGGGGTATTTTGGGTATCGAGGTGGCAGGACTGGGATTAAGCTGGGATTGCAGTGCCTGAGAGACTGGTAAGGTGGGAAAGGAGTTGGGGCATCTGTGCAAATTTGGCAGGATACTAAGCAGCTTTTTGTGCTGTTAAGGCACTCAAATAGCTGGGGCTCAAGAACTAATCATTTTGCTGTTAAGATGCTACTGTATTTCCTGCCTGCTTAGCTCCCTTATTGTTCATTTTCCAAGCCTGTTTAACACCACAGTGAAAGCGTCAGGCAGAATCTCTAAGATCATAGTAACAGTAGCCAGGAGATGGTAATAAACACAGGATTGAGGTTTTGCTGAAGGACTGGGCAAAGCTGAGCAGAGTGAGGAGAGAAACCCTTTCTCAGCAGCAGCAGCTAAAGTAACTTAAGAAGAACACAGTCCAGCTTCCAGTGAAGTCAGCAGAGGAGTTTTCCAGGGGTTTTAATGAGAGTTAGAAGAGCCCCTACCTTGCAGGGCAGGTACCTTTCTCTCTGAGTAACTGTCTCTCCCCCCCCTGGGATTTATTCCTGTACACGGAGGACCTTTTCTGACACACAAGACATGAAGCTTCTACCAGTTAAGGATGAATTGAAGACTCTCTGGCATCAGTGAATGCCAACCACTTGGAGTATGTGTAAAGGGTCTGAAGAGGTTTTTACTGTCATGTTTACACCTTATCCCAGGAGCCACTCCTCAGTGGGGATGCTCTCAACAGTGAAATGTGGTGTTTGGGTTAGCTGACCCATGTAACCCATCCACACTGGGGTTTGCAATGAGTTAGCTATGCCAGGGCTAGGAGCATCAGCAGAGAGAGGCCTTTAGGTAAAGAAACACATAAGAGCCAGTTTGGATAGTAAGAGATTCTGGTACTTGTAACAAATGTTTTGATTCTGTGTCTTCCCTCCAGATCTGTACTGCACATTAGAGGTGGATTCCTTCGGGTATTTTGTGAACAAAGCTAAGACCCGTGTTTACAGGGATACCACGGAGCCCAACTGGAATGAGGTGGGTTGTGGTGTTCATGGTGTGAATTGTCTAATGTGTGGGACCTTGGTTATTCCCCTGAGGGCAGAACATTTAGAAATGAAGAGGCTCTTCAGTGTGTAATCTGTGCTGCGCAGTCTGGACTCTTAGCATGCACAGTGCATCTGACAGCGCATTCTGTGCAAGCTTCCTGTCATTTCCTCTTGGCTCTTTGCATTTGTGGGTGATTTATCTTGCAGCATCACTGATGAAGAGAGTCTGTCAGCCACAGAGGGATATTGCATTGTCAGGCAGATGATTACATGGATGATAATTGAGTAGATGTAAGGTATTAAAAAAAAAAAGCAAGTGTTATCTGTAGAAATTTATTGAATAAGAAAGCGTTTTTGGAAGGAAAGGGATAGTTATTAAACCCTCAGTTTTAGGCACCCTTGGTCTTTGTAGCAAGTTTGTTTTAAATGCATTGGAACATAATTAAATGCCAGAAATATGGGACCCTCTTTTTGTCTCAATGAGTAGAATATGAACAAAGGTACCAGACATTCTCTTCAGGCAATATCCAAAGTACCCCCTACATGTATTGACCACAGTCCTGTTCAGCCCCTCTGAAGACTGACTCCATTAGGCAAGATGGGTTTTATCTCTGGTCCCATCAGACAGGTTTTGATGATGTTGAATAAAGCTTCACAGTGCCTGTATTGTGTCCTTGTTAATTTATTGCTGCTCTTCTGCTCCCTGGGTGTGCTGTAGGAGTTTGAAATTGAGCTGGAGGGCTCGCAGACCCTGCGGATTCTGTGCTATGAAAAATGCTATAACAAAACCAAGCTCACCAAAGAGGATGGAGAGACCACTGACAGGATCATGGGGAAAGGCCAGATCCAGGTGAGTGAACTGACCCATTCCCAGACTCCTCGCTGTGATGGGGAAGCAGAGACCTGTTTCCATACATTCCAGTGGTCTCTGCTTCAAGAAATATTCCAAATGTTGGTTGCTGGTGGGGGATTCTCTTTGTCTAAGACATGTCTGGGAAGTTAAATATGATATGGCTTTTCCCATGTTCTTCTGACCCCTTCCAGTGTTGGACTGGAGAGGCATTCTGAAGGGGAAGGGACGCAATGCTTGTAAGAATCAGGGCTTCATCCTCTGTCATGTCTCCTTTTACTAAGTTGCCTTTTCAGGGTCAGGGCAACAATTCAGTCAGTGAGCCCCAGTTAGACTCCATGTACCATGGCAAGGCTGCAGGAGGAAAGAGAAAGTGAAAGGAACAGCTGCACGAGTCGGCTGTCTGAGTTTTCTACGGCAGGCACTACCAGTCCTAAATTATGGGCTGGGATTGTAGTGATGTGTTAATAGGACCAATAGCAGACTTGCCTGTTCCTCTGACATCAGCCGTGTCCAGAGTGGAGTGTCTGTGACCACTAGTTTTGAGATAGAGAAGTAGCCTGTTTTGAGCTCTTACTCACTGAGAAGCAGCTTGTGACATTTCTGTAATCCTAGGAGAACATCAGAGCAGGATGGAGCTGTGATGGGATGGTAGCAAAGGGGGAGACACTCCCAGGGTGTTTCTGAGAAATGGAAGCTGAAGCTCTGGATAGTAGATCCTGGGAACTTGGGCAGGTGCCCCACTTGTTCCAGGCCTGTGGGCACAGACTGTTGTATGGTTCCCTCTCCACCCAGATCTGATTCCTGCATGTTTATGGCACTTTGTGAAATAACTAACAGTTCTCTTCTCCCATTTCTGTCGTGTTCCTCACCTCTCCCTTGAAAAGCTGTCCTCTTGTAGCTGAGTGGTGGCTATGCAGACCTTATTCTCCTGTGAGATTTCCACAGGGGCCTTGAATGATTAAGGCCTGCAGGACCAATTCCAACCTCTGGTTCTGGCAAAGCTGAGTGTGCGTCTGCACAGCATGAGGCCTGCTCTTTCCC